TTGTAAGGAAGTAAAACACATATCACTTTGTCAGTTATGGCATGAGCCTTAGGATCGTGACATCACAGTCACCTGGACAACTACAGAATGTTCAGATTTAGGCAGTTGGTCAACCAACTGCTGCAGGCATCTTTGGTATTTAGTGCCAAAGGAGAAAATGAGAACTTCATATCCATTGAAATTCCTCCATTTCAGCCTCCAAGAAAAAGGTATTTTTGAATAACTAGTTTAAATTCCCGTGATAGAATACTGGTATCAAGACTTGTTCTATCTTGATTCCTCCAGATCATGTGAACTAATTCTTTTTTTTTTTTAATTCTTTTTTTTATTATAATCTTTTATTTATTTTTTATTAATTACACTTTATTCATTTTGTATCCCCCCATAAGCCCCTCCCTCCTCCCCTGCCGATCCCACCCTCCCTCCCCTTTCTGCATGCATGCCACTCCCCAAGTCCACTGATAGGGGAGGTTCTCCTCTCCTTTCTGATCTTAGTCTATCAGTTCTCATCAAAAGTGGCTGCATTGTCCTCTACTGTGGCCTGGTAAGGCTGCTCCCCCCCAGGGGGAAGTGATCAAAGAGCAGGCCAATCAGATTATGTCAGAGGCAGTCCCTCTTCCCATTACTATGTAACCCACTTGGACACTGAACTGCCATGGGCTACACCTGTGCAGGGGTTCCAGGTCAGTATTTGCTTCATGAAGAGTTCCTCACATTAGCAAAAGTCAATGCCAATACCATGAAGAAATGGGATTACAATGTCAGAGAAGGTATGCTCTAGACTGCACAGGAGAATGGTGTCTGTAAATCTATAAAAGGTATTTGTCCAAGGTATGAGAGAGGGTTATTCTCTGCTGGATCTAATTGTTTTACCCACGATAACAACAAAAGTTAGTTGGGAACTGCCCAAACTTCAGCCCCACATCTGAGAAACTCTAGGAATTCACCAAATTGTTTTTGTTTCCCAAATGTATTGTGTTCTCTAGACCCTTTTTCCAAACATTTTAACACTGATTCAGATTAGACAAAATAAGTTATCAAATATCCTTATTTACTTTCCTTTTGTGTATTATGAATCTGAATTGCTACTATTTTTTATCTTTATACCATTGCTTCACACATGTGAGGGGAGCCAGTGGCTGTTGTATCTATTTGCCTCCTTAAATGCTTGCTGAGGAAAAGCTAGTGTGTCCATAATCCTTGAAAGATGAGTTAGCATAAGTCTTGAAAAGAATAATATTTGCTAAAAGAAGTACACACTTTAAATATGTTATTTCATAATTATATTTATAATTATAGGGAAGTTTTTGTGGAAGAGAAAATATCCAGAGGCATCTGGAAGAGTTCAGAGCACAGAGTAAAAGAAGCAGATTAGACAAGACTGTGAATTCATGTGAGAGGAGGCAGAAGAGTAGGAGAGAATATTAGAGATAGCTGGGACAAAAACTTGCCTTCATAAAGAAGGCAAAGGGGTTGTGCAACATTTGGGGGCAAGTATGATGCAGGAAGACAAGTGGGTAATTGAGAAGAAACGGGAAACTAGGTGGGAGCTTTGGATATAGAACAAACACTTGTGAGTTTCTACTCAGGGAAACTGGATCCCAGCACTGTGAGCAGTAATTCTGTTGTGGACTCTGTTTTCAGCATCTGGCCTATTTTGCATATTACCTACCAGTATCCACTTCCTTCCACACATTGGACATCGATGAATGAAAGCCAAATACTATTGTTTACTCTTAGCCATCCTCAAGGGATCTCTGGCTTTTTGTCTGCTTTTCACAGTTTTGCTGAAGTTGCAGTGTCTTTCAAATGTTACTTTGCTCAAGTCATTATAGGCCCAGTCGGTGCATGGCTCACTGGGTACTCGTGTGTCCATGCCAAGCCAAAGCTCCATGTTTCTTACACAGCCTAAGATATAAGCAATGTTGGAATAATATCTTGCTTGGTAATATTGAGAGGTGAATGGGATTTCTTATTACACGGTCATTCAGATCTTATTGTGGATCAAAAGATCTAGGCTCCATCTGAAAGAAAGGCAAGTAACCGGGGCTTTCCTTGTGAAATCAGCCCCAGTGGCTCGCCTGTGGCCAGAAGATACATCATGGACACTGATCCTAATTTCATCCTGCTAGAAAGGTGGGATTGGTGAACGAAGGCATTCAAGAGTTCATTATGGAAGATTACGTGTGATGGTGGTTTTGTTTGTTTCTTTTTTCCTCACAGAGTGCTCAAGGTGACAAACTCTGGTTCTCTCCTGGACACAAAGAATCTGCAGGGAAATAGGAGAAGGACCTGACTGAGTTCAGTGTTCTAACCCTGAGTTCTAAAGAGTTTAATTATTTAGTCTGAAACTTGAATATACATAAAAAGTAAAATAACTTTCACATTTGTAGTCATTTAATTCATAATTTCCATCTATTTTATATGACCCAGTCACATGATAACATCTCATATGGAAATGGTCTCTGATATGGTAAAATAATAATAATAATAATAATGGGACCATTCCTATTCCTTTCAAATTGAGACAAATAATTTTCCTGAGAAAAGGTAAAAACAAAACAAAACAACAACAACAAAAAAACAAAAGCCTGGATATCCTTTTTCTTTAGAAAAAAATGGAAAATTTTTCATTGTTGAATACTAAAGACTATTCTGGGATCTTGAGTGATATATCAATGATTATGAGCACTTCTTTCTCTTTGAGAAGAGGCCTGGGTTTGTTTCATAGCACCCACATGGAAGCTCATAGCCATCCATAATTTCACTTCCTGGGAATCTGATTTTCTCTTCTCACCTGGTTAGGCACCAGACACAACATGGTTCACAGATACAGATGTGAGCAAAACACTTATGTAAAATAAATAAATCTAAAAATAAAATTTAAGAATTTAAAAATAGTATTAAGCTTTCTCTATACTTTTATAGCTTCTGGTTTGAACCCTTAGTCATTCAGGAAATGCAAATCAAAAAGACCCTGAGATTTCACCTCACACCCATGGCTAAGACCAAAACCCAAGGGATGATACATGCTGGAAAGGATGTGGAGAAAGGGGAACCTTCCTAAATTGCTGGTGGGAATGTAATCTTGTACAACCACTTTGGAAATCATTCTGGTGCTTTCTCAGAAAATTAGGAATAGTGCTACCTCAAGATACAGCTATACCACTCCTAGGTATATACCCAAAAGATGCCCCACCACTCAATAAGGCCATTTGCTCTATTATATTCAAATCAGCTTTATTCGTAATATCCAGAATTTGGAAACAACCTAGATGTCTCTCAACAGCAGAATGGATACAAAATTGTGGTACATTTACACAATGGGATACTACTCAGCTATTAAAAACAAGGGCACCATGAAATTTGCAGGCAAATGGTAGGAACCAGAAAAGATCATCCTGACTGAGGTATCTCAGAAGCAGAAAGATACATATGATATATACTCACTTGTAAGTGACTATTAGCCATATAATATAGGATAAACATATTACAACCTGTAGTCCTAAAGAAGCTAAACAACAAGGAAGACTCTAGGGAAGAGGCTGAAACCTCATTCAGAAGGGCAAACAGGGTAGACATAAGAAGTAGAAGACAAGGAACAGGACAGGAGCCTTCTACATAGTACAGCTGAAAGGCTCTACCCACAAGGGTATCCAAGGAGATACTGAGACTCATAGCTAAGCTTTGGGCAGAGTATGAGAATCCTTATGGAAGAAGAAGGAGATAGAACTGGAGGGGACAGGAGCTCCACAAAGAGAACAACAGATCCAAAAACCCTGGGCCTGGGGAACCTGCAGAGACCAATGTTACAACCAAGGACCATGCATGGAGAGGACCTAGACACCCTCTTCAGATGAAGCCCATAGCTGCTCAGTTTCCAAGTGGGTTTCCTAGTAAGAGGAGAAGAGGCTATCTCTGATAGTAACTCAGTGGCTGGCTCTTTGACCCCCCCCCCCCCAGTGGGGAACAGCCTTACCAGGCCACGGAGGAAGATGATGCAGCCAGCCTTGGTGAGACCTATATGCTAGGTTCAGATAGAAGGAGAGGAGGACCTCAGCTATCAGTGGACTAGGGGAGGGGCATAGGAGGAGAAAAGGGTAGGTGAGAGGGCCTGGGTATAGACAAGGGAGGGTGCTACAGTGGAGATACAAAGTGAATAAACCATAAGAAATAAATACATAAATAAAATTAAATAAAAGAAGAGGAAAAAAAGAATCTGAAATGTAGTCAATTCTCTGTCAACATGTGAAAATGTTTAGTTTATGTCTGTCTATGTCCAGTACTTTCCCCCGTGAAGGGAAGATATTCATGTTCAGATTTCCTGACTGAATGACATGGTATTTCTTATGTTAAATTTTTCTGTAACTGTTAAAATATTGTTGACAAATAGGTAATAGTGATAAAAATTTATCAGACAAATGTGGATAAGAAATAAAAAATCTGAGATCACCAAGAAAGTTCAATAATGCTGTTTTATTTATCTATCTATTTATTTATTTATCTATTTATTTATTTATTTATTTATTTAACTTATTGAGACAGGATTGTCACCTTAGTTGTCCTGACTTTTCTTTATACACTGTCTAACGTGTGAGGGAGTACAAGACTTGTGCCACAAGGTGGACATAATTGCTCTCCTCAGTCAGTGATAAGATAGTTGTGGCAGGATCACTCACATCCAGGACAAATTTACTTAATGAATTGTGTCACATTGATGATAGTTAATTCTAAGACTTGGGACAGTTTTTCATCATGGCTGCTTCAGAAATTTTAAGAACCTAATGTTCTTGGTGATCTCTCGGCTGTCAATTTGATTATTTTAACCCACGGGGCAAATCCTCCCACCAAGATTTTTCCTTATTGATTCCTCGGAAGCTTCTGGAACCCTTTAACTTAATTGTTGCTGTAACTCTCATTTGGATTGTACCGCTGACATTCCATCTGTGTCATAAGAAAAGGCAAAGTAAAAGTTGAATCACGTTGAAAATCACTCAGACATGGACGAGGGCAAGGTTTCATACTTCCTGGAGAATCACACCCACATCACAGCAGAGTCTGTAAGGATCCTTTAGAGAAGAAATAGCTTAAATCCCGGGAGAACAAAGCAAACATCTGGACATTGATTGCAATTTCCCAGCTGAAGCTTTAGCCCACGGTGGCTGATGTGCTTCCACGAGGCTTCTGTGTTTCCAGTAACCTGCAGCATCAACCTGACCACTGTCAGGGGCGCAGTAACGGAAGAAGGAGAGCCCAACCCGCTCCCCTGACCCTGAGGACCTTGTCCTCCTACTGTAAAGGGAAACGGGTTTTTTCTTTATACACGTGTCAGAATCGTGAGGGAGAAAATACCGAAGAGAGCAGTGTGTGACTCACAGAGAACCAGCTTCAGAAGCACATACGCATCTTTCCTTTTTTCTGTAAAACCCAATTATGGGGTGGGGAATGTTTAAGTTGAATAAATTGGTTAATATGAAGATAGGTGGGTTAAGTAAGACTCTCATGGTGTAAAACTCTTGTTGATATCAAAGCAAAAAATGACTCGCTTTAAAACTCTGAATAGTTTAGTATGGGGAGAGTCCATACTGCACAGTTCGCTGATGGTCCTCTTCAAACAAATCAATAGGCTGAAATTTCCTCTCTATGTTCTACCATGCCTCAAATTATACATCTTTGCCTCATCACAGCGAGGCTCTTGATGCCCTGAGGTGTACAGCCTTCTTGGTCCAGAAGCAGAAGGGAAAGCACAACGTAGCCGTGTGTCCTTCAGCATGTAGGCGGGTTTGCTCGCACTCGTCACCATCACTTTCAGCCTGGATTCATGTTTTCTCTTCATAGGGCCTGAGAATCCATGTTATAATGAGCAACCTTGAAAATACCAGCAGACCACAGCGATCACGAAATTGCCCAGACTTTTCCAACCTGACTGGGCAGAATATGGAGGATCTAAATACAGCTACTCAAGGGCAATTCGTCCTGAATCCCAGAGACCAGTCAAGAAGCCAGCAGCAAAATGGTGAGGCCCCAGTCCTCCATCAAGTGCCCTTTCTCAGTTCCCATTTCCATTCCTTCATAAAATACCAAAGCATGGCATTGTTTTCTTGCTTGGGGAAGGGATACTGTAGAAAACAAAAACAAACAATATGCTCTCCGTCAGGGTTTAAGAGAACTCTGTCCAAAGGTTGGCCGTAAGTCTCAGCATCTGCTTTGATAGTCTGCAGAGCAGAGCCTTTCAGAGGCCCTCTGTGGCAGGCTCCTAATTTGTTCCCTGTTTTCTCCTTCTTCTGATGTCCATCCTCTTTGCCTTTCTGGATAGGGATCAAGCATTTTAGACAGAGTCCTCCCTCTTGATTAGTTTCTTTAGGTGTACAGAGTTTAGTAGGTTTATGAAAGAAGGGGGATCAGAAGGAAGGAAAAGAAGACTTCCCCTACCAGTGGACTTGGGGAGGGGCATGCGTGGAGAAGGGGGAGAAAGGGAGGGATTGGAAGGGAAGGAGAGAAGGAACTACAGGGGGGGTACAAAGTAAATAAAGTGTAATTAATAAAAAAAATACAAAAAAGTTTCAGGAAATAAAAAAGAGAACTTCTGATTCAAAGGTCAGCTTGTCTCTGGGAAGAACATTTCATTCTTCCGGGCAGAAAGTCACCCTAAGTTAGTATGCCAAGGCACTGTATACACATAATTGTGTGTGCACACATCTTTCTCCCATTGGAATATGATGTTTAAGACCTGGAACCTCATGTGTTCCCTATCAGGTTTTCTCCTGATTGGGACAGGAAAAAAACCCTAATGACTGCACTGAGACAAAAACTGTAATTAAAGCAACACGAACAGTCATATGTATGGCATTGCACATAATCTGTTCCAGGCTTGAGCAGAAATGGGCTTAGACTTCTAGACTGGTCTGTAACCTCATTTCAGCCCATACAAGAGTATTTTATGTGTGTTATTTTAGACAAGAGTTGGGACTAGAAATAGACCTAAATGACTGCTTTCAAATTCTTGTCTTAAAACATTTTCACATATGTAAATGCAGGCACACACACAAACATACAGAATTTGCTCAGTCTGTGTGACAGTATTTGTGTGTTTTCAGGTCTGAATCTTTGGAACTGGACAGTCAACCAGTATGTTCTTACCTGAGAAAGTCTGTTTACTTTCATTCTGCTCCTTTTAAAAACTTTTAATGCTTCTGTCCTAAGTTACTTATTTGCAATTTCATTATGGCCCTATATAGAAAAGCGAAAGAAATGTTCATCTCAGCTTAGAACTTGAACTATGGGGGTATGGGTCCAATGGCTGCCTGACATATGTGGCCCTGTGTGCTTTCTCATGAAGGACACATGCTGCAGAGATGAAAGAAATCTGACAGTGCTTCTTAAAGCTCAGTATGAAAGCTAAGAAACACACTATGGCATAACTACTTGATCTTAACACCAGTGAGAGTGCCTATGAAAAACATGACGACCTCTGAGGCCACCGACTGAACATAACTCAGCAGGGTTACTCAACTAGTTGTCAAGTACCTCATGATGCAATGCTGAGTTAGACGGCACGAACTTGTGAACATTCTCACTGAAAAACACTCAGATCAGGCCTCCAAGGTTAACAACGGTATCGCGTCTAGGGAACAAGAATGCCTACACGCTACATATGACTAACCAATTCAGAACTTAATGCCCTCTCTCTGTATGAATTCCAACGAAATGTTATACAAGTGAAATTCTGTGATACAGATTGTATGAATTTTACTAGTCCATGTAATGGCATCAATTTCTCTTTAGTTACAGAGAAGAAAAAAGGTAACAGAGGACGGTCTTTCATAACACGAATATTCCACAGGGGCTCTGCAGCCCACCGGGACCAAGTTAGCCCAACCCTGCCAGTCACCAAGAGAGGAAAATTCTTTGGAAATGATCTTCCTGTTATTTGTGAGGATGGACAGCTGCCCACAGTGATTCTGGTATCACATGTTTCTTCTCTGGCTATCCTGAAGACAAAATCCTGCTTTTTACATACCCCCATTTATTTCTAAAGATGGGAGTGGAAGCAGTTCTGCATCAAATCATCGGATTAAAAATTAGATAAAGATAAGACAGAGCTTATATATAGAAAATTTGAGGTTTCAGGGTTCACATAAGAGTAGAATGGATAGAACAAAAGACAGAGACACTAAACCCAGGTCAAAGTCCTCTTCATCCATTGCAGCTTTTACACCCGTACACGCTGTTCTAGTTCTCAAGAAAAAGCAAATAGTGCTCTGTGCTGTGGATATAGTAACAGGAGCTTCCCTTTCTTTCACTTAGGATATGTTATCCCTCATCAATGAAAAAGGGCCAGTCACTGAAGGTGTCTTTAGAATGCCAGCCAGTGCATCAGAATGCCAAGCCCTAAAAGAAAAGCTTGATTCCGGAGAAGAAGTGAATTTGAACAAGGAATGTGTCCTTGTTGTGGCATCTGTCTTAAAGGTAGGGAGAGGCCTTACATCACCCACACTCTGGAGTCCTCTGAACCTGGCTGAGCAGTTTCCTTCATCATGTTTTCCCTTGAGTGATAGCAGACATGAAGGACCAAATTCTGAAAGCGTTTTTTTCCTCATGATCACAACATCAGGATTCTTTTTTAAAGATGGAAGCCCCATGTATTATAAACATTTTCATTTACAATAATGTCTCACACCCTTATGTTCATTGTTGACCATTGCAGTCCAAAAGAATGACATTGGTAATAATGATAATAAAGAATAACTTGAGTCTCTGCCATGAACTCGGTTGCCTGCTCTTTGATCACTTCTCCCTGGCGGGGCAAACTTGCCAGCCAGGAAGAAGATCCAGGCAGTCCTGATGAGACTTAATTAATAGGCTAGGATCAGATAGTAGGGGAGGAGGACTCCCCCTTTCAGTGGATTAGGGGAAGGATATGAGAGGGGGGAAGAAGGAGGGACGGTGGGACTGGGAGGAGGGGGCTACAATCAGGATATAAAGTGAATAAAGTGTAGAAAAAAAATGAAGCCTGAACCAGTCATAATGAGGTGTAATATAATTAAGCATCTTTTGTTTGATTCCTCAATATGCCTAATGAGACATCCATTCCAAAATAATATTAGTGTGTGGAGGGGCATTTTGTGCATACACATGCATGACACCAAGCGAGCAGGCCTGTGTGGCTGTGTTTTGCTACCCGTGCTCTTCATTCTCTGACATTCTCTACCTCTGAGAAGAAGGTATTTCTTTCTCAGGATTGATCATATGTCTCCTCCACAAACACCATATTTACACACATCCAGGATCTCTACCCCTCTCTTCTCTCTCTCTCTCATCATATAATGTTGGTATCAAAGCCAAGTTCTTATGACTGTGAAGCAGGAATTCTTAATCCCTGAGCCAACCCTTAAGCACGATCAAGTAATTTAAAAAAAATATTATTTTTTAAAAATTACATTATTTCATTCCCTCTCTTTCCTTGATCTAAACTTTATGTTTCCCCTCAACCTCTTACCCCCTGTCACATGGCCCTTTTCCTTAAGTTTTTATTATTATATCCTTTCATACAAATCCATAAATATTTTAAATAAATTAATGATTCCATTAATGGTTGGTAGTATATGCACTGTCTCTGAGCTAATAATTAGTACTGGATTACCAATTAGGGATTCATCTTTTGGAAAGGTTAATTTTCCCACACTCATTTGTATTTATGTGTCTACAGTTCTTTGTTTATAAATTTGGCTTTGATGAGATGTTTGTATTTCAAATTATTATCTTTGATGATAATTTGATGAGTTTGTTCAGGTATTATTTAAGTCAACATTTTATGGGATTATCATGAGTGAATCTTACCATCATTTCTAGGGAGAATGATCTCAAACAGAATTTTGCAATCTGGTTTACAATGTTTCAGACTCTTTTAGGCAATGTTCATAGATCCTAAGATTGAGGATTTCTGCTATACATACACACAGATAAACACACACACACACACACACACACACACACACACACACACACACAGGGGATGGGTACTCTGAGGTTTTTTGTTCAGAGCATTTTGGATAGTTGTGCCTTTCTGTAATGGTTTCTACCTGTTACAAAGTGAGCCTTGTTTAATAGCTTGGTAACACCTACTCTATGGGTAAGCATTAGAGCAAATATTTAGAATACAGCTAGAAATTATACTTGGTTAGTGAAATGGTTATAGGTCATTATCCTATAGTTATTATATCATGCACTTCAGACACAGGACTCGGAGCATCTCATCTGACTCTGACATGTAAAACTCTTCCCTGAGGACAAGCTCTAATAGTAATAAAGATGTTGTGCAAGCTACAAAAGGGGCAGGGAACAGCAAGAAGTAGCCTACAAAGCTGAATCTATGAGCCACAACAGTGGCAAGCATGGCAAGTTATTCCTGAGAGTGAAGTAGTGGCACCTTTTCAGGGCAATAAAAAACGGCTGTTTAATCAGATCTATAGCCTGTTCAACAGTATAGAAATCATGAATAGCATAGAAAACCTTGCAACTATCCAGGATTTGGATAGTAAAATAATATCTCTTAAAGGGAAGGGGAAGAGATCCTCCCCTATCAGTGGACAAGGAGAAGGGCATAGGGGGAGAAGAGGGAGGGAGAGTAGGATTGGGAGGAGATGAGTGAGGGGGCCACAGCCGGAATACAAAGTGAAATAACAATAATTAATAAAAAATAAAAAATAAAATTCTCTGTTTAGTTCTGTGCCCCATTTTTAAATTTGGGTTATTTTGTTTAATGGTGTTTGATTTCTTGAGTTCATTATATATTTTGGATATTAGCCATTTGTCAGATGTAAGATTGGTGATATTTTCTCAACCTGTAGACTGTAGTTTCATTCTACTGACAATGTCCTTTGTCTTACAGAAGATTTTCAGTTTCAAAAGGTTTCATTACTTATTGATATCAGAGCCTGAGATGTTGGTGTTCTGTTTAGGAAGTTGTCTCCTGTGCTAATGAGTTCAAGGCTTTTCCTCAGTTTTCTTCTAATAGATTTAATGTATCTGGTGTTATATTGAGGTCTTTAATCCACTTAGATTTGAGCTTTGTGGAGGGAGATAAGTATGGACCTATTTGCAGTTTTTTGTTTGTTTGGTGGCCATAGGCATGTGGCTTTATTTCTGGGTCTTCAATTCAATTCCGTTGATGAACCAGTCCATTTCTATGTCAGTACCATGTATTTTTTATTACTTTTTAAAAGATAGTCTAGGTAAATTGTGGGAAATGCTGTCAACATAAAACTTTCTTTACCCATGCTTAAAATGTTATACTTTTGTATTTTCTATGCAACTTTGTGTGAATAAAAACAATAATATGATTTTTTATAGATTTTCACACAACTTCATTGTGATTTTTTTTTTCATCTTCAGTCTTTTCCTTCTGTATTTATGTCTCTCCTTCCTTCTTAATTACAGCTATACTTGGCCAGTTATAGAATTTAGCTATAGACATTGAAAAAATAAACATTTCTCTTTTAATTATTTCTCCTTTACTTATTTATCCTTTTATTTCTTTCTTTTATTTCTCCTTTAATTATTTTATATTAAAACATACTTGAGGACTTATCAGGGATTCTAGCCACCTCTTCATCTTTCTTGTCTCTATCGTCAAATACTTTCACTTTACAGTTTGTCTGAAGTGATGACCCTCATCTGTATTTCCTTGACTGTTGTGAGCTTTAGAGTCTTTTTTAAGATGCTTGAAACCTAAATCTGTGAGACCAGCACAAACAGCATGTGTCTTTGGAAGCTGTCAAAGTGATTTGACATCTGATTCCTGTTTTTGGATGAACGAAGATGAAGGTTCCACTAAGTTTTAACTAACAAAGGATTAGTCAGAAGTTTGTACTCCTGCCTGGGTTAGGCTCTCACTTGAGATTGACCTGTTTTCACCTCCTGAGACAGAAGGTGCACACTGCTATGCTTACTTGGATATCACCAAGTGTATTATGCCCCGTTTTGTGGTATTTATTTTACAGTCACTATACAAAGACACACATTGCTTTTCCTCCACTACTTACAGGATTTTACTAGAAGCATTTTCTCTCAGAGAACACAGCACAAGAAAGAAACTCCAGGCTCATTCAGGCTTTGCTTATGAGCGTGCGTTTGTGCATTTTGATCACTTGTTTCAGAACCTTTTGAGCTAGAAACAAGAAGCAGCCTATCCCAAAGAAATCATCACGATGTGTATGTTTATATCATTCAAAATAGGATTTGAAATGAGGTATTGGTCTCTTCAGTGTGTGGTAGTTTGTTCAGATGTCCATCCGTGGCAGGGGAGAGATTTGCCTACTTTCCCAGTGCTCCCAATAATCTGCTCTCAGGTTTTTAGTTTTGATGGAGAAAACATGAATACCTTTAGTAAGCCTCCATGTCAGCCAAGGTTTTAACTAGGGGACAGAGTTGGAACTGGGAAGGAAGTTGGGCTAAACGGAATTTTACAGTAGAAAGTATTTTCAGTAATTTCTGGATTTGTATTTTCCATGCCCCCCCAAAAAAATATTTTTCCATGTAAGGAGTTTCTTCAAAGTATCAAAGGAAGCATTCTGACAGCTAGACTGTATGTCAAATGGCTTGATGTCCCTGGTAAAGTGAACGAAGAGGTGAAAGTAGCTGAAGTGCAGAGGTAATGATTAGCTAATTGCTTCTACAACATTAACAAAAAATAGAGATAATGTTTGCTCAGAAACAGACAATACCCTAGGATTAGATACTAAACATATTGACTGACAACAAATGGTTTTAATTGCTTACGAACATGGAAGATATTTCAAAAGAGAAATAAGACTTGGGCAGTCACGGTGGCCTGGGCTTGTAATCTTACCATTCGAGAAGCAGAGATGTAATCGGCAACAGTGTAGGGTCAGCCTGGGCTGCCTAGACAACCCAGAACACTCAGAGCACAGTAGGAAAACTTGTATTGAAAAGAAACAACTGAAAGGAAATGTATCTCATGACAATGGATTATCGTTTTTCTCTTAAAATTCTTAATATGAAACATTCGGCATTGTACACACTGTGAATTTATGTTGGCCCATAGAAAATAATGGGCACCGATTTGTCAGTGGTATAGTTTCAATTTTCTACAAGATTTAACAGTGAAAACCATGTCTAATTAAGACTAAATTTTCAATGAAGTGTGTTTGTATACATGAAATCTTTCAATGCTCTCTCATATAACAGATGTGTTTTAGCCGCTATTAAGCCTATAGCATTGCACAATTGCCACCTTCAAGATACAGGGAGCCTTTACAATTGACTAATTTACTTTGCAGTATGGTCTTAGTTGAGCAAATTACAGAATGCAGTGTTTTAGATGTTTATATTACATGTTTTTACTGAGTGGGGAAATATTTAAAGCAATAATTTTAGGATGCATTCCTCTTTTGGAGGGCAGTGAATAAGATACAGCTATTCTGTTCACTGTCTTTACAACTTTGTGAGTTGAAGTTCTTGTTTTAAGATAACGTGTCTCTCTGTTCAGCCTTTTAGAGCAACTGCCACACGCGAATGCCGTTCTCTTGAGACTACTTTTCAGAATGTTACACAACATTGAACGGAATTCTACAGTCAATCAGATGACCGCTTATAATTTATCTGTTTGCTTGACCCCGAGTATCCTATGTCTGCCTAGTTCTTGCAACTCAGGATTAGCAAATGATATTTCCAAAGAGGTAACGAGACACATTTTATGCATAGGGTTGTCGAGTCTTCATGGTGAGACAGGAACACAGGACAATCCTGAGAGCCATTTTTTAAAGTAATTACACCACTGAATTGCATTCTTCTGGAACAGCAGAATCATTTGTGAAATTTGAGTGAGTATATTGTCAATGGATATCTGAGCTCAATGATTCAGTTCTTTATCAATTGGAATTTAGAATGTCATTTGAGTAACATCAGTTGTAAAATGATAAGAAAGAACATGGGTTCAGTGATCAAGACAGTATCCTGATCTCATCACTGAAGGATGTGTGAACTTTTGCTTTGTTTTTGAGGCACTTGCTCCAACTAGACAAAGCCAACATAAATTGGTTTTATCAGACATGGTTTATGAGAATAGAATCTTGATTAATATGATTTAATATACCCTTAGCCTCTTGTAGATTCTGGCTGGTTTAGAAAAAAATTTTTGAGTACATTGTTCAAAGGTAGCCACATTTCAAAAATTTTGAGTACATTGTTCAAAGGTAGCCATATTATAATGAAATATCAGATTCTACTCAGTATAAAGATCAGATGGCTATTTTGACTCTCAGACTTTCAGTTTCTAATTTATTATTGATTAATTGTCTGTTCTTGTGCCTCTGAAGATTCCATTCTATGAAATCCTGACTCAGAAAGAAAATATTTTCCCTATATTGTGTAGATTAAAGAAAAGTATAGAGCGTGAGGGTTCAAAGCATCCCACAGTTGCAGACTTTCCAGTATCTAAAGCTTTCCCAATAGGCCTTACTTCAAATACCCCTCAGCATGTTCAACCCGAGGATCAAGCTGTCAACAGTGAATCTGCCCAGATCATGAGGCACGTGGATGCCTGTGCTCAGTGGGCTTTGCCTGTCTCTTCTTCTTTGGATACTCCACCAAAACTTTTGATAGGATGTGTCTACATTCAGAAAGAGTCTTCACCCCCCCCTTAGTTATGCCTTTTGATAAGCAAACTTAAAACCACATTCAGACATGTGTGTGACAAATAGAATCAAAGTTAGCCAAGCTGACAGTATATAGAAGCCATCACAATGTGAACACTGGAAATCATCCTCTTATTGTGTATTGCAGTGTGTTGACTGCATTTTTTTACATCTGATCTCAAAATAGTATGTCAATCTTCTAATGGAAAATGCTTTCCTATATTTTATAACAGCTGACTTTTTCTCAGAGTTTTGAATTATACAGTTCTAACCCCCAAGACTCCATATATCAAACAGTATTTACACCAATGAGAAGTGACAGAGGCTTTCTGTGTTTGCCCCATTTTGTCACAGACTTCCCTTGTAAAATTTCTCATTGAAAACTGTCTGCAAATATTTGGAGAAGACATGGTTTTATGTCATGACGAGAACTCAGTGGCTTGCCATGATGTGGGAAAAGCTTCATGCTCCCTGAACATTAGTGTGACTGACTTCGGTGAGATGAAAGGCAAAGGCTATCAAGACAACAGCTATGAAAGTGGAAGGACATGCCCCATGAGCAATGCTACAGTGCCTATGAATCCAACCCTTCCCCTTCACAGCGAGGGGGTTAGAGGTAAGTAAAGACACTCTATAGGCATAATTTAAAATTTGAAGTCACCAAGCACCCAAAATCATTTAAAGCAAACAAGAGGTGGGGAGTTCACTGTCACCACTGTGTAGTGTACCTTCCCCTCTATGTTACAGATGTTCTCTCTTTAGTAGATACTGTCTGAAAATTTTTATTCCATCTTTCAATGGCCGTGAGTTTATGTAAAAGGTAATTCTCAGAAGTGCCAAATAAACAGTTAATTAGAGATATGTGGAGAAATGTCACATACCTTGATAACTTGACTCTTGTATGGATTTTTATAACACTCAGAATAGCAACTCAATTTTGTGAAAAATTTTGTTTCTTTGAGACATGAGTTCTCTGTGTATAATAGCCTTGACTATCCTGAAACTTGCTTTGTAAACCAGGCTGTCCTTTGACTCACATAGATCTGCCTACCTCTGCTATCTCTGATGCTGCAATTAAAGACATACACAAACATGCTTGTCTCTTTTGAAAGTCTAAGTAGAGCATATCACAAACGTAGGGGAGATTTGAGCTCATAGTTCAAGGTGAAGAAACCAAAGGCTGTCACAGAAATATAGGCAGCCAAGGAAGGAGTGTGATGAAGTACAGATGTAGTGGTTAGATTACCATTTCCCATTACTGTTCCACCAGAAACCACACAGGCGAACCCTGAGGCTGCGCACTGTGTAACTACTGCTTGATTCTAATACTTACTATGTGCATAACTTTTCACACAAACTCCAGAATTCACGGATTATACCTGGCGATATGAGCCGTATGCAACTAGACATCAAGAGTCTCGTGATGTGGTACAGTGTGATGCATCACAGCACTGTCAAGGAGTCACAGTGGAAGAAAAAAAATTAGACCTGAGTGAGATCTGGCCTCTTGCTTTCCTTACGCTCAAATTGAAGGAGAACGACAGGTTCATTCCAGAAACCCATTAACAAACGCCTCAATATCAGAAATGGTATAAGGTTGATTAGTCATTTTCTGTGTGTTTGGGGTGACGTAGAAGGCAGACTGCTATAAGACGGAAATGAAATGCAGTGGTTAAGAGAGTCAAACTACCGCTTAGAATGATCTCGCTTCTTTCTTAGATTTTGGGAAACCTGTCAAAAGATCTTTTATAAAACCAATGATTACCAGTGGCTCTGGTACCAGCCACGACAATGTGTGCATGGCCCTGCCAGCAACAAAGAAGGGACGCCTCTTTGGAAAGTCTCTCATGAGTGTCTGTGAGGATGGCAATCTGCCTGCTCCCATTTTGGTGAGTCCCATTTTCTAGTGATACATCCGTCCAGTTCTAAATAATTCTCGGGAACCTGTAGTCTCATTCTGCTTTCTTACTAAACTGTTGAATGCTTAGGTAACTTAGGAATAAGGGTGAGGTCCTTTTAAAATAGTGCCTCAAAAAGTAAAATCACACTGATGTTTGATTAGTTTAATGAAAACTATATTGAAAAGAAAAAAGTGATTCCCTGCACTCTGCCGAAGGTTTGGTTAGGCCTCTCAGCATCTGCTTTGATACACTGCTAGGTAGAGTCTTTCAGAGGCCCTCTGTGGTAGGCTCCTGTCCTGTTACTTGTTTTTTCCTACTTCAATGTCCAAAGTATGTTGTGCCTGAATTGCAATATCCCCAAAGAACACCACCAGGAGTCGAGTCCATTGCAAAACACATGAAAATCTTTTTATTACACTTATTACAAGCTGTAGCTTGGGCTCTCCCTACCCCCATCACCGAAGTGGTGAGAGACAAGAGCCTCGTGATCAGGTTAGTTAGGTGATTTAAAGATTCTGGTCCCTCCCAGCATGCCCAAAGCAGGAGCTATTCCTGCCTGGCAATTATCTATTGGTCAAAATGCAAAAAGGATGTTGCATTTTGAATTGATTGGCTATAGGAAGGTCCCCAAACCTATATGATCTGGTGTGCCTCCCTAGGGGAATGAGCCAGTTTCATAGAACTTTATCTCTCGTGGGCAGGAAACGAATATAGTAAGACTAGTTCTTCCCCTCAGGGCATTACTGGACATATCTCCACTTAGCTAGACTTCATTCAGGCTTTATACTTTAAACTAATAGCCACTGATTTTTAATCTTTTGGTCTCTCATTCCCCCCTTCCCATGACCATTGGTATCCTACAGATTTACCTTTTTATAATGGGATCTGAGTACCATTACTGTATTGCTTCCAAATATTTTTTCATGAAAGCCATCAAACAATTTAAAATACAAGGCCCAAAGATAAAAATCAAAATAAGTAAGAGTCCCTTCAAGGTGGATATAGGGGTAGTAAGCCAAGGAGAACTCTACCTAGCAGTGTATCAAAGCAGATACTGAGACTCATAACCAAACCTTTGATAGAGTGCAGGGCATCATATGATAAAAGGGGGAGTTAATATGACCTGGAGAGGACAGGAGCTCCACAAGGACCGAATACATCAGGGCACAGGAGTCTTTTATGAGACTGTTTCTCCAACCAATGACCATGTATGGATATAACCCAGAACCCCTGCTGGGATGTAGCCCATGGTAGCTCAGTATCCAAGAGGGTTTCCTTAGTAAGTGGAACAGGGACTATTTCTGACATGAACTCAATGGCTGGCTCTTTGATACCCTCCCGAGGGAAGAGCTGCCTTGCTAGGCCACAGAGGAGGACATGACAGCCAGTCCTGAAGATATATGATAAGACAGGGTAAGATAGAAGGGGAGGAGGACCTCCCCATCAGTGGACTTGGAAAGGGGCAGGGAGGAAATGAGAGAGGGAGGGAGGGATTGGGCGGGAATGAAGGAGTCGGCTAAGGATGGGATACAAATTAAATAACCTGTGATTAACATAAAAAATAAAAATTATAATAGAAAAAGAAAAAAAAGTGTTCCCATATCCTTCATGATTTCAGCACAGGCAAAAACTCAAATCCAACAGTTTCTTAGAGGAAATGGGTCTATGAATGTGATACCTCTGTCCCCTACTCTAAATTTTTCCAGCTTCTTTCATGACTATATTATTATGGGGTCTCCCTTACTACCATTGCCTCTAAGATTATTCACTCTCATAATTCAATATATCTAGTGTTTTGTTTTGTATTACCAAGTAATTAGAAATAAGAATTGTTCTCTTCTAAATAGGAAACCTTGCATCTTAATAGACCATGTTTAAAAGCCACTAATAAACTATTTTAAATAAGTTAGTAAATTGCCATTGGGAATACAGTTTAATGTTCAGCAATGAATTTAGCACTATACTCTGTGTTGGGAGTTTATGCTGCATATGGACAAATTGGTCTTGTCAGAAACATGATAATTACTACACACACCTGGAGTATTTTACAGCAAAGTTTTCTGGCAACCATAATTGTATCATCACAATTGTGCAACTAGAGGAAATCCTCCGTAAGGTTGTGTATGGTAATCATTATTTCGTAGTGAAACAATGAAGGAGGGGTTGAAATTCTCTTGAGTTCCTGACTATCACAATCTCTTTCTACACTGAAAGCTGAAAATAAGAATTCAGAGTAACAGGACAGGAACCTTCCACAGAGGGCCTCAGAAAGACTCAACCCAGCTAGGTATCAAAGCAGATGCTGAGGTTCTTCATAACCAAACTTTGGGCAGAGTGCAGGGAAACTTATGAAAGAAGGGGGCGGGTAGAAAGACCTGGAGGGGAAAAGAGCTCCAAAAGGAAAGCAACAGAAACAAAAAATCTAGACAAGGGTCTTTTCTGAGACCGATACTCCAACCAAGGACCATGAAGATAACCTAGGACCCCTGCACATATCTGATTTGAAAACAAACAAACAAACAAACAAACAAACACTGCAATGTTTCAAGTTGGAAAAAAATTAATTAGAAGAGAAAATATATTTGGAAGTTAAAGACAAATATAAAATCTCCTTCATTCTAAGCACTTCTATCTCTGTACCTATCCTTGCCAATGCTCTGATTCACAGTAAGGGGAGCACTAGTGCTTCAAAAGTCTGGATATGTAATGATAGACTCTCGTCTTCCTCCCACCTAGGATATGCTTGCTATTATCGATGAAAAGGGACCAGGCACAGAAAGAATCTTCAGAACATTAGCCAATGAATCATACCGAGTCCTCAAAGAAAGTCTTGATTCTGGAGAGGAAATGAACTTGAGAGAAGAACCTGTCCTTATTGTAGCATCTGTCTTAAAGGTAGAGAAGGTTTTAGCATCATCCACATTCCGCACCCCACTCGTGGAGAGATGAAGCATGAGTAATTTCCTTCCTTGAGATAATCTTACAATAACAGTTTCCTTCAACATGAGGACCTGAGGATAAGAGGCATGGTAGGTAAAAGCCTGACAGGCTATTTGCTTCGTCAAAGTGACATAGCCGAAGGCCTGCTGTGGGACACCATCCCTGAATGTCAAACGCACTCTCATTTGCCATTGCCAACCCAGTAATTTCACCTCTGACCACATCATGTTGTGTAACAACAAAACAAGTAATAGTGGCAAAAGTTGCTTTACAAAACACATTTCGTAAATCATACTTACCAAAGAAATATTCTCCATAAAATAACAATAGTTCAAAAGGGCTAGTCCATCTCTAATGTGTAACAGGTTCACAGAGAGTTGGCTGTTGCCATCTATCTAGTACCTTCTCTACCAAAAATATAAATATTTTCACATCTCTCTTATCTTGCTTTCCTAATCCCATGTCAGCTATTCAAGAATTAGTCTGATCTGCTGATTAATCGTGTGCCACCACAATGAACTTGAGTGGAGCTGTCTATAAGCAGTGGATTAAAAGTATTTAGCATTTTTTTTTAATTCTGCCATTTTCTGAGTTCAACACTCAGTAAATTCTGGAGCAGTGGCCCCAGGGGTTTAAGGAACAGATAAGTGGTCCGAGAGTAGACAAGCTTAATAACATCAGACAAAGGTACCACTTGATGCCTCCTTGACCCTGTTTGCCAAGTGTGGTTTTCTCTCATTGTCAGAAAACTAGGGCCAACTAGACCATGGGGACAAAAAAATGAAGATCAGTGACTAGCAAGACAGCCCCGAGCACACATAACACTTTAAAAGTAAAAGAACACTTCAGATTTTCCCACTTTTCTCATTTCTCTATTCCTGTTACTTCCAACTATGCCTGCCCCTTTACAGCTCAGGAAACACTGTAATGAGTTACTGTTTAATGAATTAAAAACTTGAAAGTCGACTAGGGTGTTTCCAGAACTAGTTAATACTAAACTGTTTTGGGTTTTTTTTTATTAAAAGAGAATTATATGCATTTGAAGGTAGATAAGGTAATTTGCTATCTTGTGATTTTTCTTGCAAAAATAGATTCCCCCCACCATTTTTCTTAATTTTTGCATTTATCAATCTATCTATCTATCTATCTATCTATCTATCTATCTATCTATCTATCCATATTTTTTTTGAAACTTGTCTATGTTTGAAACTCACTCTAACCTCTAACCTATGCTAACCTATGGCCCCATTGCCTCATTCTGGTTTTCAACGTTCAAGGTGTTTACTGCCATGCTTGCCTGTGCTACACACACATCAATGTGCATAGTCTTATAAAAAAAATATCTCTGCATAAATGTGATCAAACATAAGATTTGGAAGGACTAAAATATAGGGATTTAGCTGTCCACTAAATCCCTATACTTCACTTCTTACAATGTCAGGAGTTGACTTTTTTACACAGTTAAGAGAATGAATGAAACTGAGAGTTTCTCACTTGGAACCCAGGAGCTCAGACGAGAAAGCCCATCCTTCCACCATGTGTATCTGTGAGCATGTGTGCACATGCATACGAGAACCTTATGCTAGGAGGTCAGAGCTAGTCCACAGATGATAGAGTCAGGAAGATGTATTATCTGGCCCTGCTTATTTTTAGTAGTTGCTTATGTCCAGGTAGAACACTTTGAACTGAGGGTAATTTCATTTTATTTATGCCATGCCCAAACTCTGCCCATTTGGCTCCAGTTCTTTGGGAGAGAACCCACTACTTCTGGGTTTTTGGTAAATAGACTATCAGGTGAGATTCCTTTTTTGAAAAACTTTTAATAATTCAATTTACATCTTCATCATAGGTCACTTCCTCCTCTCCTCCCAGTCCCACCCACCCTTCCACATCCTCTCTCACCCTATTTCCTCAGAAGTGGAGGGCCCCCTATGCAGATACCCCAGTTCATCTATTCACATGAAGATTGAGTTCCTCTTACTCCCCTGCCTGGTAAGGCAGTCCCATCAGGGGAAAGTGATCAAAAAGCAGGCAACATAGAGATAGCTCACACTCCCCTGACTGTTGGGCCCACATGAAGCCTTAGATGCCCATTGGATATTTATAAGACGTGGGTGTAGATCATGCATTGTCCTTGCATGGTGCTTCAGACTCCATATGCTCCCCTGGGCCCTGGTTGATTGGCTCTGGATGGTCCTTGTTCTCACTCTTCCACCATCATCTTTGTCTATTCTATTTCCTCTTCTGATTAAAATTTATGTGTCCTCCCTAGGGTCCTACTTATTACTTATCTTTGTGGGGTCTGTGCATTGTAATATGTCTATCCTATACTATATGACTAAAATCTACTTATAAAATCTACCATGTGTGTCTTTCTGAGTCTGTGTTGCTTCACTCAGGATGATCACTTCTCGTTCCAGACATTTGCCTGAAAAATTCATGATTTGTTTTAATGTCTGAGTAGTATTCCATTGTGTAGATGTACCACAGTCTCTTTATCCATTCTTTGGTTGAGGGACATCTAGGTTGTTTGCAGATTTGGGCTATTATGAATAAAGCTGCTACAAACATGTTTGAGCAAATGTCCTTGTTGTGTGGTAGAGCATCTTTTGGCTGTAACCCCAGGAGTGGTATTGCTGGGTCTTGAGATATAGCTATTCCAAGTTTTCTCAGAAAGTGCCAGACTAATTTCCAATGTGATTGTATGAGTTTGCACTTCCACCAACAATGGAGGAGTGTTCCCCTTTTTCCATACCTTCATCAGCATGACTTGTCACTTGAGTTTTTGATTTTAAGCATCTGATAGGTGTAAGATGAAAATTTTGATTTGGATTTCCCTGATGACTAAGGAAGTTGCGCATTTCTTTAATTGCATCTCCCCCATTTGAGATTCTTCTGTTAAGAATCTTTTCTCTGTTTAGCTCTGTACTCCATTTTTAAAAATTGGATTAGGTTGGTTTAATGTCTTGAGTTCATTATATATTCTAGTTATTAGCCCTTTGTCAGATGTAGGATTGGTGAAGGGCTTTTCCAATCAGTAGGAAGTCATTTTGTTCTAGTGATAGTTTTCTTCGCTTTACAGAAGCTTTTCAGTTTAAAGAGGTCCCATTTATTAAGTGTAGATCTCAAAGCCTGAGCTGCTGGTGTTCTGTTCAGGAAATTTTCTCCTGTGCCAATTAGTTCAAGGCTACTACCCCCTTTCTCCTCTAGCTGACTTAGTGTATCTGGTTTTATGTTGAGGTATTTGATGCACATGGACTTATGTTTTGTGCAGGGTGATACGTACAGATCTATTTTCATTTTCTGACATGTAGACATCCAATTAGACCAGCACCCTTTGTTGAAGATACTGTCTTTTTTCCATTGTATGGTTTTGGCTCCTTTGTCAAAAATCAGGTGTGCATAGGTGTGTGGGTTTATTTCTGGGTCTTCAATTCAATTCCATTGATCAACCAGCCTATTTCTATGCCAGTACCATGCAGTTTTTATTACTACTGCTCTGTAGTATAACTTGAGGTCAGATATGGTGATACCTCCAGAAGTTCTATTATTGTATAGGATTATTTTAGCTTTCCAGGTTTTTGTTATGGTTGTTATTTTTCCACATGAAGTTGAGAATTTTTCTTACAAGGTCTGTGAAAATACATGTTGGTATTTTGATGGGGATTTCATTGAATCTGTAGGTTGCCTTTGATAAGATGGCCATTTATACTATTAGTCATACTCATCCATGAGCATGGGAGATCTTTCCATTTTCTGGTATCTTCTTCAATTTCTTTCTTTATTCACTTGAAGTTCTTGTCATACAGATCTTTGTCTTCCTTGTTATAATTACCCCTAGATATTTTATATTTTTGTGGCTATTGTGAAGTGTGTGGTTTCCCTAATTTCTTCCTCAGCCTGTTTGTCATGTGTATATAGGAGATTCTTAAAGATGACAGACATCTCTTAAGAAAGTAAATTTAAAATGATATTCTTCAACAATGATTCCTAATAATTTCTTCAAAGTATATTGACAATAACATTTTTATATATGTAAGGAATTCATTAGAAACATCCAAGGAAGCCTACTTTGTTCTAATCTGTATGAAAAATGGCTTGATATACCTGATCAAGAATTCCAGGATCAAAAGATTACTGCGATCCAAAGGTAATGATATATTAATCACTAGCAGATCAACACAAACATAGGAGTAATATGTTCTGAGAAGTGTATTAGGTTGTGCTTAAAAGATTATACACTGAAACGATGACCACTGTCAAGCGTCTTTTTTTTTTTTTTACTCACTTATGTAGAGTCATTAAATACATCAATACATAAATGTAACACAAATCCACCGATATATTTGTTCATCAGTGGTGTGTTGCCTCATACCTTTAGTTCCACCGCTTGGGGGACTTCAACATCACAATAGCCATGGTTTGGAAGACAGCCTCAGCTCTATACTGGGGTCCAGTCCAGCCTAGAATACAATCTGAATTCCTCTATGGGAAAAATTAAAGAACGGTGTGTGCGTGTGCTTCTGCGCATGTGCATGTGTGTGTGTGTGAGAGAGAGCCAGATACAGAGACAGAGAGAAAGTCTGTGGGGCTTCTCGAGTCTTAATATTATTACCATTGAATAGTTAATAATATTTCAAATACTGAATATTGATATTGTTTGCAGCATAAAACTGTTACTGAATTACTTTTTTCAATCATAAAAATCAAGAAAAATTCGGGAAAGTGCAGCTTTGATGTCTATGAAATATTGTCTTCTACACTACTCCATAGAACGATTTCTTAGGTGAAGGAGGAGCTTTGAATTCCTATTACTAGCCCAGGATGGCAGCATAACTGTTTTATCTATAAAACACTTTTTATAAGTGCATGGTTTAGCTTCATCAATGTGCTTTCATTCTGGAATGCTCCTGGATTCTCACACGTGTTTATGTTAAAATATATATATATTAAATATATTTCCGTGGTGGATAAAGAGATGTTTCAGGGTTCAACAGCTCTGGTTGCTCTTCCTGATGACTGTGGTTCAATTTCCACTATTCATATGATGGATTGCAAGTGTCAGATTTCTAAACTCCCATTTCAGGGGACTTGAGACACCCCTGTAGACTCCCTGGGCACAAGGCACAAATGTGCAGAGGCATACATACAGTATTTTCAAGTTTTTCCAATAGACCACATACTGAATTGATTTATGGAAATATTTCAGACAATATTGTAGTGATATTCTTAATTTCTTATGACTTTTTGATTATACTATGAAGTGGTCTACAAAAAAATTTATACTTTTTTTTTTTTTTACTTTGTAGTTTCAGCTCTATCAGTACCAGTATCACCACAAGCAGACAAACATAAAATCCTCATTTTCTGTTTAGTCTTTTACAACAGATGCCAGAACCAAATGTTCTCCTTTTGAGACATCTTCTCAGTGTGTTACATAAGATCAAGAGCCATTCTTCCATTAATCACATGAATGCTTATGGTTTATCAGTTCGCATAGCCCCGAATATTCTATGGAAACCTACTTCCTTCAACTCAGGGCTTGGAAATAATATTTCAAAAAAGGTGTGTAGACCTCCTTTTTTTCTACTTTTACATAAAGAGTCTTCAGTGTGATTCAGAAATTGAAGATAACTTTGATAGAGCATTTTTACTAAAGGACACCCTTGAATTACATTAGTCTGGAGGAGAAGAGGCATTGACCTATTATTTCAGGGAGGTTTGGAAGGGAGATTGTTAAATGGATTGGAAGTAAATAAACTGGGTTTGAGATTCCAATTTGCCTGGAACATAGAGATGAATGAAAGTTGATAAAAGAGATGAGTGTTGGAGTTAAAGTAATAGTTAGGACTGTGTCAAACATGGAATGGTATATATACTTGGACAAACATTCCAAGGTAGTTTTCTTTTTTAAATTTTTAATACTAATTACAGTTTATTTACTTTGTATCCTAGCTGTAGCCCCCTTCCTCATTCCTCCCAATCCCATCCTCCCTTCCTCATCTCCTCCCTGCCCCTCTCTAATTCCAATGATAGGGGAGGACCTCCTTTCTTTCCATCTGACCCTAGCTTATCAGAGGACACTGGCTGCAGTGTCCTCCTATGGGGCCTCACAAGGCTGCTCCTCCCTCTTGGCAGGGTGCAATTAAAGAGCCAGGCACTGAGTTCATGTTAGAGACAGTCCCTGTTCCCCTTACTAGGGTACCCACTTGGATACTGACATGTCATGGGCTCCATCTGAACAAGGGTTCTAGGTTATCTCCATACATGGTCCTTGGTTGAAGAATCAGTCTCAGAAAAGACCCCTATGCCCAGATATATTTGGTCCTTGTGGAGCTCCTGTCCTCTCCAGATCTTACTAACTCTCTGTTCTTTCATATGATTCCCTGCACTCTGCTGAAGGCTTAGTTATGAGTCTCAGCACCTGCTTTGATACACTGCTAGGTCGACTCTTTCAGAGGCCCTCTGCGGTAGGCCCCTGTCTTATTACTTGTTTTCTTCTACTTCCAATGTTCATCCCATTTGTCTTTCTAAGTGAGAATTGATCATCTTACCCCAGGTCCTCCTCCTTTATCTTCTTTAGGTGTACAGATTTTAGTATGTTTATCCTATCTTATAGAGCTATACCACTCTTAGGCATATATCCAAAAGATGTTCAAGTTCACAACAAGGACATTTGCTCAACCATGCTCGTAGCAGCTTTACTCATAATAGCCACAACCTGGAAACAACCCAGATGTCCCTCAGTTGAGGAATGGTACAGAAATTGTGGTACATTTACCAATGGAATACTACTCAACAATTAAAAACAAGGAAATCATGAAATTTTCAGGCAAATGGTCGGATCAAGAAAAGATCATCCTGAGTGAGGTATCCCAGAAGCAGAAAGACACACATGGTATATACTCAGTTATAAGTGGATACAAGGTAGTTTTCTTATCTATATCTCTGGAGCTCTTTGTTTGTTTGTTTGCTTGCTTGCTTGCTTGCTTGCTTTTTGTTTTTTGTTTGTTTGTTTGTTTCTACTGCTCTTGTATTCAGTCACACTTGCAGTGTAGATTGGGCATGTGGGCACCAAGGCTCCATATACAAAGTATTTTCTTTACTACAGTTTTATGTCCCATTTGTAAAAACCTTGTCTAGCAGCTGCTGTCCCCGGAAGGATTTAAATTCTCTAAAAACATACTTTTAGGAATCCACCTATAAAAATGAAATATTTATATTATAATTTAAATCCATATTCTGCTTGTACAAAATTTTGTATAGTCCAACCTTACCCAGTGTCTCTTAACTATTTAACTACCAACATACTAGCAATCTAAAATCTCTGCCTCAGTCAGGCTTCATGTTTAGTTCAATCTGAACAATCAAATCAGATTTTCCACTGTTAACAAGTATTAATAATCCATCCACTACGGACAATACTATTCAAATATATTTTCTACATTTTCAGGTAAGAAATCAAAGTAGGAAAACCATTCTCAAATATTTATACGTGAAACAAGGAAATAACTGAGTGTGATTTTCCTGAGAATCATGTATTCCCTATCTGGGGAAATAATGTGGAAACATAAAATTAGGTGCATCCTGTGTATTGAGTGAAGTTTACTTGCCAGCACCTCAATTAAAAAATAGCACTGTTATTTAACTTGGCAGGTGTTTTAGTTTGCTATTATTATTGTGAAAAAACACCCACGAAAAGCAACTTTTTGAGGAAAGGAGTCACTTCCTGTTATCCTTGTAGCTAAAACAGTCAGAGCAAGGAACTCAAGCAAGGCAGAGACCTAGAGACAAGAACTGAACCACAAACCATGTAAGAGTGCTGAAACAGAAACCATGCAAGAGTGCTGCTTACTGACTTGCACCTCATCTTTCTTAGCATGTTTTCTTATCATCTAACCCAAAACAATAGCTAGGGATGGCCCCGTCTTAGTGATCTGTGCCCTACAAGTTCACTCAATCAAGACAATATCCCAGAGAATTCCCTATACTACAGGGCAAATTTATGGATGCATTTTCTCAATTAAGACTTCACTTTCGCAGATATTTCAATGACTAGCTACTGTTGGAACCAACATCTCCCGTCTTTGTTACTTTTCTATTGCTTTGATATAATACTATGACCAAGAAGCAAATGTTTTTATTTGGAGCTTAGAGGTCCAGAGCAGTTAGAATCTTTCACAGTCACAGAAGAGGAGCATGGATGCAGACAGGCAACTCAACCAGAAAGCTGAAAGTTGAAAGCTCTTGGCCAGCAAATATGAAGCAGAGAGAGTGCACTGGAAGTGGTTCATGGCTTTTAAATACCAGAATTCCAGCCAAATACTTAGTTTCTCTAGGAAGACCAAAATACTTGAACCCAAATATTGTCATCAACACAGTATTAAGTATTAGGGTGCCTGAGAATAAGATCTCCCCCCCCAATAAAATTAAAAATAAAAAGAAAACACTTGTAAAGTCTCTAGTTCAATTTAAATCGAAGTTGCTCTTGGCATCATATCAGCTGTGATGTGTCAGTTTTCTTCTTAATAGTTCCTTTACTCTGCAATAAGCAATATGCATGTATCTTAAACAATTTTAGTAAGATGCAAAGAATATAGATTAGCTATTCCAGACAGAGACTTCTGATAACAGAAGTGTGTTTGCATTAAGGGAGCAAAAGGAGATGAAAGCCTATGCTTATCTGTTCCCAGCATTATTTATCCCTTTAATTCAATCTGGGAAATGCAGCAGTAGAAATGTGTACACATTAACTTCTTACTTAAGCCTTTCTAGAAACACCCACGTGTGTGTGTGTGTGTGTGTGTGTGTGTGTGTGTGTGTGTGTGAAAGGAAAATCACAATTTAGTAATGTTACCAATAAATATTTGCCAGGAGAAGCACATGTCTCAGCTGCTAATAGGAATCTTGCAGAAGAACTAAGTTGGCTCCCTACCAACCAAGTGTCAGAGTCTACAAATGCCTGAAACTCAGCTCTGGGCATCTGTTCACCTTTTCACAGTCACAAGGACTCACACAGGCACATAACTACAGGCTCCCTTCCCTCACACCTCCCATTAAACAGTAAATGTAAAATAGAAAACATTGCAGTGAGAACATTGAAGCTTTTCCTGTTTTATTATAACTTACGACACTGATAGTATAATTAAGTACTTGCATGAAATACTCTTAGTCACTTGGGGGGCTCATATCTTTTTAGAGTAACTGTTTTCTCATTATTCTTGATTTCAAATTTCTCAAATGCCTAATGCTAAATGTGATTGTAAACTATATGAAAATACAAAGCTTCCTGTTTTTGCCTTGTGGTGTTACAGATTTCCATTGTAGAAATTCTCATTGAGAACTTTCTGGAGATATTTGGAGAAGATGCCGTTGTGTTTTATGGAGCTAGCCCAAAGAGTTTCAATGACATAGAGAAAGCTTTACGTTCCTTGAATAATGTTGCTGAGTTTGATGAAATCAGGAGTGCCAGTGGTAACAACAGAGGCTGTCGTAGTGAAAGGACCTGTCCTCAGGAAAAGGATGAAGAGAGTCTGTCTGCTCCTCCTTAGAAAGAAGGTCTTACAGGTAATGGAAGCTTTTAAGTAGTCATCAGACAGACAGGAGGATTAATCATTCCCTGATTTAGGAAAGTTGTAAACAACATCACAGAAGCATTGGGACACATTATAATATGAGAGTAACAGGGAGGTTTATAAAGAGACTTTATTAATTTTATTAACACTTTATTAAATTAAATATAAATGTTTATGCACACATATAGAGAGATGCAGACATAAACACACACATATCACTATTTAGATAGCGACACATCTTTGTGTGACAGATGTACTCCTATGTTAGCCCTATAAAGCTCCAGAATATTCTCTGCTATATTTACTACCTTTCTTCTCCCTGATTCTTGAGTCAATGTGAGATATTTCAGAAAGCAAAATTATTTTTTTAAAAAAAAATCATTTAGAAGCAATGATTTGATTTAACACGCATCAAACATTCTGGAAGATAAAGCCCTATTCTGCTATCTACAAATCACATTATATTCTGCAATAATATTCTTGGTTTGCTCTCATGTGACAGAAGAATTTTATTCAGTGCTTAGCATTGGTGTAAGTATTAAGCAATGTAGGACCCACTACAATGAACATGTTAAGAATGCTAAAGAGGCCAGAGCGTCCCACAGTCAAATGTTAGCAACCATTCAGGGGCGGGTACAGAGTTAACACAGGCAATTCCCTGTGCAGAGTGCAGCTAAGGTGCACAGCTAACTTGTCTTCATTTGACATTTGTCTCACTGATTTGAAGAAATCTACAGAAAACTCCATTTTACCTAAATTGAGGGGAATCTATATTCTGAAAAGATTTCTATCGAAATAACATTGTATGTTTCTTTAGCAACAAAAACATGCATCCTGTACCTTCTCATCCTGTACCAATAAACGTCATGGCTTTCTACCGAACAAACTACTGGAGGAGGATGATAAGGCAGCATCTGGATTGGCCAAGCTGGCTTCTGGTCAGAGATTTTTTTTTTCCAGTAACTAGATACATGAATCTCCAGAACTACATTTGGCTTCTCTTTCTCTTTCACACTATTGATTATTCTCCTAAAAAACCTATTTTGCCTACCTGTTTTACCGGCATTTAGAAGAATTTGTTTGGATCAACTGCTTTCATTCAAAAATGAGAATTCCTCAAAAATAACATGCCCCTATCAACCAATAGAGGCATCCGAGGCCATTCATTTAAATTATGGACTTGAACCTTGAGTAAGCATTTCTCAGGTCCCAGCTCATTCCTTTTGACTGTTTCCCTCCCCTGCCCACTTATTCATGGTTCAAAATAAACTACCAAACATTTCTTCTGTTTTTCCATATTAATTGCAGTTAATATGGTAATTTAAATGGTAATTTCACTTACTATATTCATTGTTTTATGTTCTATAATATACATACTTTGTTGTAATATCATTCATTCCATAATTGGATTGCTTAGATGTCAATGTGCCTTATTCATGGTTCTCTGTAGTCTTCGGGTAATACCATTTGGCAGTTTTCTCCTCCACCTGGATTACTCTGGGAACTGCTGACATTTTGCAGATCCAAGGAGATCACTTTGTTTGTATTTTCTTCCAAACTCTCCTCAGAATGATCTATTAAATTCTGCTTACGAAGTGAAGTTTGCAAATTTTTATGACTAAATTCTTCCAGAGTCTAGCCACAAAACAGTTCCAACAGCTAAGTTTCAACTCATGAGCTGACCCATAAAGACAGCCTCACTCCCAGACATTTTAGCAGCACTTTTTTTAGCTTCTTTTCTTATTGCTGTGAAAAAGATACTCTAGCATATTATTTACATAAGAAAGAGGTCTCTTTTTCCTGGTTCAGTGTTAGAGACTCCTAAGGGCATCTATCTAGGTTGGTTCTGATGTCAGGAGCTTGTAGCTAGTCAAGTTGCCTGCCTAGGTAAGAAGCAGCAGACAAGGAATGCTCATATAGTTTTTTGTTGTTGTTGTTCCTGTTTTATACATTCCAGGAACTATGTATGAAGAATATTACAGCCTAATTCTGATGTTTTTCTACCTCTTTGGTCTAATCAAAATAATGCCTCAGAAGCATACACAGAGGCTAATATAATTAAAATAATCCCTTATAGTTGTATTTAGAATCCTGTATCATAGATTATTCCAGATAAAAGTTATTAACAATAAAAATTAATCATCACACAGGATGAACTTAAACTTGGCCCAAAAATTTAAGAATGTACACAAGGGTCTGAAAGGATGGTTCAGTGTCTAAAGCTATTGAGACATTTGTGACATGAATTCAGATCATCAGACCTTACATTAGTGACAAACAGAACTGTGCCTTGTGACACAAGTGTCTCTAAATTAGAACTTGGGTGAAAGTTGGAGAAAAGAGATCAGCAGAAGATTCCTGACCAGATATTTCTCACATGTTAAGTAGTGTGTGTGTGGGGGGGGAAGACCCTGTCTCAGAAAAAATGGAGGGCAATGATCAACACCTGATGTTGTCCACAAACCTAAATCAACTCAAACCTCTACACATTTCAAGAACTAGGTATATACGAGTGTACGCATGCATGCGTGCACGCGCACACATCTATATATGCATATATATATATATACATATATATAGTCCATGCCCCATATATATATTTATATATATATATATACACATTCACAGACATGAATACAATATTTATACTCAAACACATAAGTACACTGCAAATTATATATATATATATATATATATATATATTTTTTTTTTTTTTTTTTTTTTTTTTTGAGACCTCAATCTCAGCATGAAGAATTCCTTATTCATGACTGGTCTCCCAGAGAAAGTCCATAATTCAAATCTGAAATACGGAAATCTTAGAGAAAACCTCCACTAAAGAAGCAGAAAAACCTCCACTAAAGAAGCAGAAATATAATAGACAGCAGACGTGGTTGAAGAGAGGGAACAGCATAACAGAGGGAGGAAGGAAAAAATGAGGGTTGATATCAGACCTGGGAAGAGCAGAGGTGAGAAGACAGAGGGCTTGTAGAGAGAAGAGAAACCTTGGGTGGGGAGTTTTCTATGACAAGCTGCAGACCTACGACAGAGTGTGTTCCTGGGAGGAAATGAGGGTGACTCTAGATTGAGACACCTAGGAAGAGGGGTCATGGAGACTGAAGAGGCCACCCTCTAACTGGGAATGATTTTTAGTGATGGGAGGGGAACACTAACCCACCCACAAAAACTTCGACCCAAAATTTACCCTGTCTATAAAATGCATAGGGACAAAAATAGAAGAGAGATTGAGGGAATGTCCAACCAATGACTGTCCCAACCTGAGATTCACCCAATGAGAGACAGCCAACCCTTGACATAATGATACTGTGTTACGCTTACAGACTGGATCATAGCATAGCTGTCTCTGAGTTGCTCTACCCAAAAGCTGATGGAAAGAGATGCGAAGACCCGCTGGGTGGAGCATAGGGAGTCTTGTGGAGGAGTGGTGGAAGGATAGAAGGGACCAGAGGGGACAAGATATCCATAAGACCAACAGACCATCTAACTAGGGTTCTCGGGTCCTTATGGAGACTTAAGGCACCAAGCACAGACCATGCATGGACTGGACCTAAGTGTCCTACACAGATTTAGGGGGCAGCTTGGTCCTCATATATGTACCCTAGTAAGGGGAATAGGGGCTGACTCTGACATGGACTCTGTTGCCTGCTTTTTGATCACTTTCCCCTGGGGGAGCTACCTTGCCAGGCCACAGGGGAAGAGGATGCTCTCAGTCCTGATGAAACTTGATAATGCTGGGCTGAGTAGGTGGGGTGTGAGGAATCGGGGAGGGAGTACTGGAAACAGAGAGAGAAGGTGGGATCAGGAGAAGAGGGAGTTGTGACCAAGATGCAAAATAAAAAATAACTTCACTCTCCTTGTGGAGTTCCTGTCCCCTTGAAGTCTATCTCCTCTTCTTCCATAAGATTTCCTATGCTCTGCCCAAAGTTTGGCTATGAGATTCAGTATGTCCTTCGATACCTTGATGGGTAGAGTCTTTCAAAGGTTCCCTGTGGACGGGTTCTTGTCTTGTTCCTTGCCTTATGTTTCCAATGTCTATCTTGTTTGTCCTTCTGTGAGGTTTCAGCCTCTTCCCTAATCCTGGGCCCACTGGGGAGTGGGGCTGAAGAGACTGATGGTCTAACCAAGGGTTTTGCATGGAGAGGACCTAGACGCCTGCTCAGAGGAAGCCCATAGGCTGCTCAGTTTCCAAGTGGTTTCCCTAGTAAGGGGTTATAGGTGCTGTCTCTGGCATGAACTCAGTGGCTGGCTTTTTGATCATCTCCTCCTGGGGTGGGGGGTGCAGCCTTGCCAGGCCACAGAGGAAGATGATGTAGGCAGGCATGATGAGACCTGATAAGCTAGAGTCAGAAGGGAAAAAGATATTCCCTTATCAGGGGACTAAGGGAAGGGAATATTGGGAGAAGAGGGAGGGTGGATGGGATTGGGAGGTGATGAGGGAGGGGGCTGCAGCAGGGACACAAAATGAATAAATTGTAATAAATTAATTTTTTAAAAAATTTATATTTTCTACACAATACATGTTCTAAATATTGTTTTATTTATTATAATTACTTTCTGTAAATATTTTATCACATTACCCCTGCCTTTCAATTCACCCCATGCCCCACACTCTTAAACAGACTTTTTGTTACATTGCTATTGCTACATATGTGAGTTTGTGTATGATTGTATGTTCAATTATAAAAACATGCTGTATGGTGATGTCATTCCTGGAAGAAGCTGATTCTTCATCAGTCATACAGTTCATTGACTATGGAAGGGATCAGAGGAAAATGTTACCTTTGCATGTCTTTTGATAGTGCCATCACTACGGTCTTGCATCCATTTCTATGAAAGACTGTTTTACAGCAGTTTTCCAGGCGTGCTGGCACTTAGAGCCTTTCCTAACCCTCTTCTGAACCGTTCCATGAGCGATAAGACAAAGGAAGTATGATGTAGATGTATCCACCATTGCTGGG